CAGAAAACTACTAGAGCTAATCAATGAATTTGGTAAAGTAGCAGGATACAAAATTAATGCACAGAAATCTCTGGCATTCCTATATACTAACGATGAAAAATCTGAAAGTGAAATCAAGAAAACACTCCCATTTACCATTGCAACAAAAAGAATAAAATATCTAGGAATAAACCTACCTAAGGAGACAAAAGACCTGTATGCAGAAAATTATAAGACACTGATGAAAGAAATTAAAGATGATACAAACAGATGGAGAGATATACCATGTTCTTGGATTGGAAGAATCAACATTGTGAAAATGACTCTACTTCCCAAAGCAATCTATAGATTCAATGCAATCCCTATCAAACTACCACTGGCATTTTTCACAGAACTAGAACAAAAAATTTCACAATTTGTATGGAAACACAAAAGACCCCGAATAGCCAAAGCAATCTTGAGAACAAAAAATGGAGCTGGAGGAATCAGGCTGCCTGACTTCAGACTATACTACAAAGCTACAGTAATCAAGACAGTATGGTACTGGCACAAAAACAGAAAGATAGATCAATGGAATAGGATAGAAAGCCCAGAGATAAACCCATGCACATATGGTCACCTTATCTTTGATAAAGGTGGCAGGAATATACAGTGGAGAAAGGACAGCCCCTTCAATAAGTGGTGCTGGGAAAACTGGACAGGTACATGTAAAAGTATGAGATTAGATCACTCCCTAACACCATACACAAAAATAAGCTCAAAATGGATTAAAGACCTAAATGTAAGGCCAGAAACTATCAAACTCTTAGAGGAAAACATAGGCAGAACACTCTATGACATAAATCACAGCAAGATCCTTCTTAATACATATATATGGAATTTAAGAAAAAAAAATGTCATGAAGAACCTAGGGGTAAGACAGGAATAAAGACACAGACCTACTAGAGAATGGACTTGAGGGTATGGGGAGGGGGAAGGGTAAGCTGTGACAAAGTGAGAGAGTGGCATGGACATATATACACTACCAAACGTAAAATAGCTAGCTAGTGGGAAGCAGCTGCATAGCACAGGGAGATCAGCTCGGTGGTTTGTGACCACCTAGAGGGGTGGAATAGGGAGGGTGGGAGGGAGGGAGATGCAAGAGGGAAGAGATATGGGAACATATGTGTATGTATAACTGATTCACTTTGTTATAAAGCAGAAACTAACACACCATTGTAAAGCAATTATACTCCAATAAAGATGCTAAGAAAAAAAAAAAGACCATGGAATTCCCTGGTGGTCCAGTGGTTAGTGTTCTCACTGCTGAGGGCCTGGGTTCAATCCCTGGTCAGGGAACTAAGATCCCAACAGCCATGAGGCACAGCCAAAAAAAAAAAAAAAATCACCAATTATGCAAAGAAGTAAGAAAATACAACCCATGATGAGGAGAAAAATCAATCAATGATACAAAACCAGAAATGTCACAAATGATAGAATTAGTAGACAAGGACATAAAGACAGTTATTATAAATGTATTCCATATGTTCAAGAGGGTAAAGATTAAAGATGATAATTAAAGACATGGAAAATATAAAAATAATACAAATTAATTTCTAAGATGAAAACTACAAAGTCTTTTACAAAGAATACATTGCCTGGAATTCACAATAGGTTAGAGGCTAAAGAGGAGAAGAATAATAAAATTAATGACATAGCAGTAGAAAGTAACACAGAAAGAAATGAAACATGGAAAGAAAAAAAAGACTGATAGGAAAAATGAGCACAGCATCACTGAGCTTTGGTTTCAAGAGGCATGTAATTGGAGTTCCTGAAGAAGAGAAGAAAGAGGGGAGTATAGAAGAAAATATTTAAAGAAATAATGTGAAAAAAATTTTCTAGATCTGATGAAAACCATAAATGCACAGATTCAAGGGACTTGCAAACGCCAAGCACAAGATATGAAGGAAACTACACAAATGCACATCATAATCAAATTTCTAAAGCCAGTGATAAAGGGAATATCTTAAAAGCAGACATGGGAAAAAAAATACATTACATACAGAAAAACACAAATAAGAATGACAGGAAAAAAATGATAGCAGTCATTCTTACAGTGCAGACCTATATTACAATGAACCAACCTCTAAAGAAAGACTGTCAACCTAGAATTCTATAGCTGGTGAAGATATAGTCCAAAAATGGAGACAAAATACAGACTCTCGCAAACATACAAATAATAAAATAATTCATAACCAGCAGGATTGCACTACAAGAAATATTAAAGGAAATGCCTAAAAAAAAAAAACAAAGGAAATGCCTTAGGTGGAAAGAAAATCACATCAGATGGAAATCCACATCTACACAAAGAAATAAAGAGCAACAGAAATGGTAAAAATGTGAGTGAATACTGAAAACATTTTTCGTACTTTTAAAATTTCTTTGAAAGCTTTGTGACTGTTTGAACCAAAATAATAACATCGTATCATAGAGTTTATAATATATAAATAAATAAAATACATAACAACACCACCATGGCTAGGAGGGGTAAATGGAATGATACTGCTGTAAGTTCTTATACTACATGTGAAATAGGATAATATTACTTGAAGGTACATTGTCATATGATGTATATTATAAATTCCAAACTACTATAAAAGAAAAAAAATAATTATAGCTAATAAGATAACATAGACAAAATGGAATAATAAAAGATATTTAATCCAAAAGAATGTAGAAAGAGGGAAAAGAAAGCAAACAAATAGATGGAACGGATAGAAAACAACTAGCAAGATAGTAGATTTAAATGCAGCCATATCAATAATCACATGAAATGTAAATAGCTCAAACACCCCAATTAAAAGGTAAAGATTACCAGATTGCATAAAAAGGCAAGGCCCAATTATATGCTGCCTGCAAGAAACATGATTTAAATACAAAGACACATAGGTTAAAAGTAAAAGGAAGGAAATCATATGTCATGCTAACACTAATCAAAAGAAAGCTGGGGTCATTATATTCATATCAGACAAAACAGATTTCCAAGCAAAAATGTATTACCGTGGATAAAAGGAGTCACTTCCGAATATTAAAGTGGTCAGTGCATAAGAGGATATAACAATAAAAATGTTTATGCATCTAATAACAGAGCTTCAAAACACATGAAACCAAACCTGATAAAACTACAAGAAGCATTTAAATCCACCATTTAGTTGGAGATGTCACCACTATTTTAACAATAATTGATAGAGGGGCTTCCCTGGTGGTACAGTGGTTAAGAATCTGCCTGCCAAAGCAGGGTACACAGGTTCAAGCCCTGGTCCGGGAAGATCCCACATGCCGCGGAGCAACTAAGCCCGTGCGCCACAACTACTGAGCCTGCGCTCTAGAGCCTGCGAGCCACAACTATTGAAGCCCCCATGCCTAGAGACCATGCTCTGCAACAAGAGAAGTCACTGCAATGAGGAACCCACGCACCACAACAAAGAGTAGCCTCCGCTGGCCACAACCAAAGAAAGCCTGCGTAGCAACGAAGACCCAACGCAGCCAAAAATAAATAAATAAAATAAAATAATTGATAGAATGAGTAGATAGAAAATCACGAAGAATAAAAGACTCAACTGAAATCCCAGCAGGGTTTTTTTTTTTTTTTGTAGAAATTGATAAGCTGATTTTAAATTCTATATGGAAATGCAAAGACAACTGTGCCAAAACAACTGTGGGGGAAAAAAAAAGATTAGAGGACTTATACTACCTGATTGCAAAACTGTGAACCTTTAAAAAAAAAACATGAAGCTTATAAAAGCTACAGTAATCAAGACAGTGTAGTACTGGTGTATTGAAAATAAAATTGACCAATAAAGATTCCAGAAATAGATCCACAAATATACAATCAATTGATTTGGACAATGGTGCCAAGGCAATTCAACGGGAAGAAAATAATCTTTTCAACAGATATTGCTGAAATAACTGGAGAGCCACATGCAAAATAATAATAATAACTTAGACCCTTAATCCACACAATATAGAAATAATTAATTTGAAATGGATCATAGATTGAAATATAAGAGCTAATGCTATAACATGTCTAGAAAAAAAAAGGGAGAATATCTGAATGAACTTGGATTTGGCAGAGATGTCAAATATGATGCAAAAATGGCAAATAAGCACATGAAAATGTGCTCAACAGTATTAGGGAAGTGCAAATTAAGACCACTATACACCTACTATGAAATACCACCATGGTACAAAACACCACTATGCACCAATTAGAAAGGCTAAAATTGAAAAGACTGACCATACCACGAACTGGTTACAGTGTGGAGCAGCTGAAACTCTGGACTACTGCAGATGGGAATGTAAAATGGTACAACCATTTTGGAAAACAGTTGGCAATTTCTTTAAAAATTAAACAAGCATCTATCAGATGACCTATCCATTCAAACCCTGGGTATTTATCCAAGAGAAATGAAAGTGTATGTCCACAAAAACACTTAACAAGGAGGTTCATAGAAGGTTTCAATGGTGAAGGTATAAATAAGTTGGAATAAACTGATACATGCATCAATATGGATAAATCTCAAAATAATTATGCTGAGTGAAAGAAACCAGACAAAAATGAGTATGATTCCATTGATCTAAAATTGTGGACAACACAAACGATAGTGACAGAAAGCAGATCAGTGATGGCCTGGAGATGAGGAAGGGGCAGGAGGGAGGTATTACAAAGGGGTATGAGGAAATTTAGGGGTGATGAATATGTTCATTATTTTGATCACGGTGATGGTTTCACAGGTGTTTGCACATGTTCAATTTATCACATTGCTCATTTTACAGACATGCAGTTTAGTGTATGTCATTATACCTCAATAAAGCTTTTAAAAAAAGCGATTCTCTGACAACATAAGTTACTTCATGATCTCCAAATATTTCTGAATGTTCTTTCCAAAACACTTAAATAATATACACTGTAGCCTCACAACAAAAGCCAAACTGCATAGCAGAGCACTGGCAATACTATCTGGGGAAAATGTGGTTTTTACCTGTCGGTTCCTCCTCAGTGACAATGATCTGTCCAGTCCAGGGTGCTGAAGGGCGACCTGACAGAGATAAATACCAAAATCAGAAACATTCACAAATGCAGTTCATGTGCACTGAGAAATTGGTAAACTGGCCAGATTAGTCCCAAATGGGTTTGTTACTAGTTTACTTATGTACCTTCTTACTGAGTCTTACCAAGCATGCACATGGTATTTTGGGGAGAGGGGGCATAGTCTCTGTTCTCAAACAACTCACAATCTGCTAGAGTCCACGTTTCTGGAACTGTACTGACACAGGCGAGGTAAACAGCCTGTGTACATACACTGTTCCCCATGTATCTCCTGAAACACATAGGCTCTCTCACCCTTCTTGAGAGATAGCATTTAATTGGGAGAAACCTTTCAGGAACAATTGTAAGCCGGGCTGTTATTTATGTCATAATGAAGATGAAAGGGGAGAGGGGCGCTGATCCTGCAGTAAAGCTCAACGAAAGAGATTTCTTTCCATTAATTTTGAAAGTGTTATTTACAAAGGAAAGCAGTTTAGATCCCGAGTAAGGAAAATGAGTGAGACAGGCAGTATAAAGTTAAAGAGGAAACTCATTTCTGTGATATCAGAAAGACATCAGAAAGAGAGAATGATTCAACTCCTGCTTCAAGTGAGGGACTTTTCACCAGAGTGTGTGCAAAAACAGAAAGGTGATAAGCACGATAATTCATTTTCAATCCCAACAAATCTTACTTTCATTGAAATTTATTAAAGAGGAGTAAATGAAAGTATGAGATGGAATTAGGAAAGAGGGAGAGAAGTTGGACAGTGGGTGAAAAGTGATTGGAGAGTAATCAGGGAGCCTGATTAGAAAAGTCTCCAGAGAGAAGGTGACATTATTTTACTTAGATTTTTATGATGCCACTACATGTACTTAAGGTCGAGAATAACACTGAAAATGTTATAAATGGCATAGACCAGTAGTCCTCAACTAGGGTGATTTTGCCCCCCAGGGACATGTGATGATGTCTGGAGACAATTTTGATTGTCATGATGGGGGTTGGGGGGAGGGGGGAGGAGGGGGTGGGGGGATCAGAGGCATCTAGCGAGTAGAGGCCAGGGATGCTGCTAAACATCTTACGATGCACAGGACAGCCCCCTACAACATAGAATTACCTGGCCTAAAATGTCATAGGGCCAAGGTTGAGAAATCTGGTATAGACTGAAATGTGAAATTCCAACAATTCTTTTAATGCCACTTTAAGGTCCCTATTATTAAGGATGCTGTATTGGTTCCTATGAAACAAATGCAGAGCATAATTCATGTACCATAATTTTTTTTAAAAAAGAAGATGTTGGGGGTAGGAGTTTATTAATTTATTTTATTTATTTTTGCTGTGTTGGGTCTTCGTTTCTGTGCGAGGGCTTTCGCTAGTTGTGGCAAGCGGGGGCCACTCTTCATCGTGGTGCGCGGGCCTCTCACTATCACGGCCTCTCTTGTTGCAGAGCACAGGCTCCAGACGCGCAGGCTCAGTAGTTGTGGCTCACGGGCCAAGTTGCTCCGCGGCATGTGGGATCTTCCCAGACCAGGGCTCAAACCCGTGTCCCCTGCATTAGCAGGCAGATTCTCAACCACTGCGCCACCAGGGAAGCCCCATGTACCACAATTTTGACATTGAGACTTGGAGGCTAAATATATGAAAAGATTATTTTTGACTCTAACACAGAAACCCGAGTACAGATCAGATGTATGATCATACATTATGACACATCGTGTCTGATCAGACACATCGTGTCTGATCTATGTATGATCAGACACGATGTGTCGTAAATGTGTTTTTCCTTCGATATAAAGAAATTCACAGTGTTGAGTATTAATGCTCTAAGGGATAAATTCAAGATTAAGAAAACTACCTTACAATTTTAAGAAAATGAACCAGAAAGAAAAGTATATTTGAACTGTGCTAATAAAATGAAAAAAAGTTCTCCAGCCTTTTGGTTTTCATATTTCATTTCAAACACAATGCCTGTAGCTCAGTCAAATAAGGCAAAGTTTTCTGAATCAAATAAAAATAACATAAAATAAAGCCCTTAGTGAACAGATGAGTCAAAAAACAAATACTTTTTTGTTTTTGTCTTTTTTTCCCCTGGATTTTTCTGATCAGTAAAGGATTTCTTATTCTCTTCTCCCTCTAGTGGAGGGTGGAGAAATAACCTTGCAATAGGATCTATTTCAGGCATATAAAAAAAATTCAAGATGATCCTGAAAAATGAAAAATGCTTACTTTTAAGTCTAGCTTTCTCAGCTGGATCCAGAGCAGCCACAGGCTCGGAAACACGAGAGGGGAGACCTATTCCAGTTTTGTTCACAGCTCGAACTCGGAATATGTAAGAACGACCTTCTATCAATCCAGTGACTGGGAAACGAGCAAACTTCACAGGTGTGTCATTGCACTGAGACCAGCTGTCTGTGCCCACCTCACACCTAAGGGAGAGAGAGTGATGGACAAAACAGAAAAAAACAGAGCTGGAGGAATCAGACTCCCTGACTTCAGACTATACCACAAAGCTACAGTAATCAAGATAATATGGTACTGGCATAAAAACAGAAATATAGATCAATGGAACAGTGTAGAAAGCCCAGAGATAAACCCATGCACCTATGGGCAACTAATCTATGACAAAGGAGACAAGGATACACAATGGAGAAAAGACAGTCTCTTCAATAAGTGGTGCTGGGAAAACTGGACAGCTACATGTAAAAGAATGAAATTAGAACACTCCCTAACACCATACACAAAAATAAACTCAAAATGGATTAGAGACCTAAATGTAAGAGCGGACACTATAAAACTCTTAGAGGAAAACATAGGAAGAACACTCTTTGACATAAATCACAGTAAGATCTTTTTTGATCCATCTCCTAGAGTAATGGAAATAAAAACAAAAATAAACAAATAGGACCTAATGAAACTTAAAAGCTTCTGCAAAGCAAAGGAAACTACAAACAAGACGAAAAGACAACCCTCAGAATGGGAGAAGATATTTGCAAACAAATCAATGGACAAAGGGTTAATCTCCAAAATATATAAACAGCTCATGCAGCTCAATATTAAAAAAAAAACAACCCAATCCAAAAATGGGCAGAAGACCTAAACAGACATTTCTCCAAAGAAGACATACAGATGGCCAAGAAGCACATGAAAAGCTGCTCAACATCACTAATTATTAGAGAAATGCACGTCAAAACTACAATGAGGTATCATCTCACACCAGTTAGAATGGGCATCATCAGAAAATATACAAATAAAAAATGCTGGAGAGGGTGTGGAGAAAAGGGAACCCTCTTGCACTGTTGGTGGGAATGTAAATTGATACAGCCACTATGGAGAATAGTATGGAGGTTCCTTAAAAAACGAAAAATATAATTACCATATGACCCAGCAATCCCACTACTGGGCGTATACCCAGAGAAAACCATAATTCAAAAAGACACATGCACCCCAATGTTCACTGTAGCCCTATTTACAATAGCCAGGTCATGGAAGCAACCTAAATGCCCATCGACAGACGAATGAATAAAGAAGATGTGGTACATATATACATTGGAATATTACTCAGCCATAAAAAGGAACGAAATTGGGTCATTTGTAGAGACGTGGATGGATCTAGAGACTGTCATACAGAGTGAAGTAAGTCAGAAAGGGAAAAACAAATACCGTATATTAACGCATATATGTGGAACGTAGAAAAATGGTACAGATGAACCAGTTTGCAGGGCATAAGTAGAGACACAGATGCAGAGAACAAACATATGGACACCAAAGGGGGAAAATGGCGGGGTGGGTGGTGGTGTTGGGATGAATTGGGAGATTGGGATTGACATATATACACTAATATGTACAAAATAGAGAACTAATAAGAACCTGCTGTATAAAAAAATTAATAAAATAAAATTAAAAAAAAAAGAATCTTACTAGATTTGTAAAAAACGGTGCATTTACATAGAGTGATACTTTTACAAAGGTAGAGAGCTATGTTTTTAATTAAAATACAGATGCATATTTTTTTAAAAAGAATATATCTAAAACTTCACAGTTCATCATTATTCAATGATGAAATAACGTGGAAACATTTAGTGTACAGTTAAATAATGTATAATCTATTATAAATATTTCTCTGGTTGGTACTGAGCCCAGTAGGCATATACTTACTTACTGCTATAAATATTAAGTTTAATCCACCTTGGTACAAACCTGTCATACTACAGTGGCATAGATTATCTGCCCCTGGTTTGATTTTACAGTCAGGGTTTATTACTCAAAAATGGAAGAGAACTGGAGCAACTATCTGAAAAGAAACTAAGTCAGACAATAATGTATTTAGGTCAATAATCTAAATTTGTTTCTAAATTGGCCAAGCTCACTGGATAATTCATATGTAAGACCCATTTACTATAAGTATAAAGCCTCTAAGTTTTGGAGAATGTAAACAGCAACGATTTGTAGATAAAACAGTTTAATACTATGGATATTTATTATTTCTTTGTCAAACTTGAATCCTGTGATATAAATGAGATTTTCTTAGTATTCTTAGAGTACTATTCTTTAAATTACTTAATATTCTTAAATTACTGACATAGTAATAATATGGACATTAAGCATATTGAATACCAGCTATTTCACTTCTAAAGTGGCCTCTATTAGGTGAACAAATTCATAATATTCTCGCCAAATTAGTGACTTGGGTTGGTGGTACAATTCAAGGATTATCTTTGGAATTTAGGTAAACAGGTAGGTATGTATATATACATATATATATACATACACACCAGACAGAGACAGAGACACAGAGAAAAGAGGGAGAGGAGACCAGTAAAGAAAACACTTCACCTAGAAATGGTGGGAGAAATCAAGCATGTGTCTCTATGGCCAAATCACTCTAACTGAAGTTAGACTAAGTACTAACTTATCAATAAAATATCCCAGAATAGGACTGCCTCCATCCACAGCCGGCTGTTTCCAAGAGATGATGATATAATCTTTGTTGGCATCCAAGGACACCACATCCAAGGGAGAGGCTGGGGCTCCTTCAATCTCTGCATCAGCATCTGTGGGGATACAGAAGGATCCTGTTAACCCTCTCAGGTGTGCTCTGTCAGCCCCAAAGGCCAAGGTCTTAGTGCAGACATTTCTTACCACACCACCGTAGTGGCTATATCTTTGGCCCCAGTCGAGCAATCTTCAATTTTGTAATTTGCTTACCAAAATAACAATGTGTGCTTTTAACCATCAGTAGTACAAGGAACATTACGCTAGGAAGGGCTCTGAAAAGGACCCATGACCTCTGCCTCACGGCCCTTGCCTGCCCAAAATGTTCTAAAAGAAAATAAATAAGGACATGTTGAGGACTGCTATCAGAAAAGTCTGATGTAAGTTATGTCAGGAAGTCTGTTCTTAAGATAATTATTGTGCAGTGATACTTGGAAACTATGAACGGCTCCAAAGGGGAACAAACAGCCCCTTCTGTTACCTTCTAGATACATCCACAAGAGAAGAAGAACCAAGAAGCTTTGCCCATCCCTATGCTGGGACCACCATTTTGGAAGAGAAAAAAAACATTCTTTTTTTTTTTTTGTGATACGCGGGCCTCTCACTGTTGTGGCCTCTCCCGTTGTGGAGCAAGGGCTCCATACGCGCAGGGTCAGCGGCCATGGCTCACAGGCCCAGCCGCTTCGCGGCATGTGGGATCTTCCGCAACCGGGGCACGAACCCGTGTCCCCTGCCTCGGCAGGCGGACTCTCAACCACTGCACCACCAGGGAAGCCCAAAAACATTCATTTTAATTAAATGTTTGTTCCCAAGCTGAAGATCCTTGCGAAAGTAACTCTGATGAAATAGCCACATCTGAGCTTAGTTTATCTGAGTTTAGTAAAAGTCCAAGACTATACAAGAAACAGAGTTCAGTGACTGTTCATGAAATGGGATCCTCTGACAGTGGGTCCCCTCAGCAGTGTATGCACAGATAAATTAGTAACACAGGGGTGTTTTTAGGAGGAAAGGAAGGGGAATGAAAATAACCCCATAGTAGCCTTTTAAGTGAAAATGATTAAGATAAGAGTCACAGTCCCAAGGGGAGGGGAACCACATTTGTCAATTCCACTTGACATCTGGTCAACCCTTTAACAACCGGAATTAGTAGGAGAGGAGGCTGAGACATGTAGGAGCCACTCACCCAGGGAAAACACTCTTGTTGGCTGAATAATAAACACTTTCTTTTCCTATGATCTACACTTCTGTAACTCTTATAAGTTACTGAAACATTTGTTAACAGGGCTGTGCATTATCTGTGAAGATCTTAAATCAGTTTGGTTTTGAACATTCTGTTTCTTGCCCCATGAACCGGCATGAACCCATGAACCCACAGGATAATATCTCCTGCATAAGTGCTATAGGAGAGTGTAACCAAATCATCATGCCTAAAACAATGCAGAATTCCTGCATGCCACACAACGGCAAATGGGCATTTTGGTGGGGAGGAACTTTTTTCCTTTTAGGCTTTCAGAGCACTGGATGGTGGGGAGAAGGTCTGCTGATGGTGAAGGTGGAGCAGAGCTAGGATGGAGGTGGAGATGCTGAAGTTAACAGACCTAATAGCTGCTCAGCTGCAAGGGAGACAGCTGGCAACCTCTAGCCATGTCCCTTTTTAGCAAAAAGCCCGTAATGTAACAACCAGCAACGTTGGTGTTGATAGATAAATTCATTGTATGTAACAGAGCCTGGCAGACAGCAGACATTTAGGGAGCCATTTCTCAGCATTTCTATAAAATTGCTTGGAATACGCCATTTGCCATGTGGACTTGACAATCTTTCAAAACACGGTTCTGTATAGCAGCTGTTGGAAGCCAAATCCAAATACCATGCTGTATTGCTTCACACTTGTGCTCTTGGCTCCCAGCAGCTGCTACAGAGCATCTGGCCCACAGTACCCACTTGGGCAACGTCAATCCTCTTCTTAGCCTCTGCCCTTCTCCCAACCCTCCAAAGAGTCAAACTTTTTGTAGCTTTGATTAATTAGGCCAAAGATTAGCCTGCTACTCTTTATATTCTGACCTCTGACACAGGCTATTTAATAACTTTTATCAAAATGTAAGTAATTTTATTGTTTATCTTTATTATAAAAGTAGTGTCTGCTTGTAAAATATATGTAATAAAAAATACATGTTAAAATCCCTCTTAATTCCATAACTCAGAGATTACTAACGTATTTGCCTAGATTTTTCTAGATTTTTTTCCCTATATTTATAAACTCAAAAGTAATTGTTTTTCACAACAATGTAAATCAACTATACTCCAATTTTTTTTAAAAGTGATTGCTTTTTAAATAAAAGTGGGATTGGACTATATAGTTTCATGTAAACTGTTTTTTTAAAAATATATTTTCATATTAGTAAGTATACATCATTAGTTTTCATTGCTGTGCAGTATTTGTGTGTTTATATGGAATATTTATTATACTTTATTTTCAGTTCCCATTGGTGGATATCTAGATTCCTTCCAGATTTTCCCCCAAACAAACATTTTTTTCAGCTTTGTCCACTTAAATTCCTAGAACTAGAATCGTTGGGAAATGCACACTGTTGATACACAGTGGCAAAACACCCTGAGCAAAGCTAAACCGATTTACACTCACCAGCAATGTGTGGGAGTGCTGGCCCCTCCATTCCTTCTTCCCAGTGGATTTTAAAACCTTGTAAATATTTTCAGTGTGATAGATTAATTTTATTGCTTTGATTACTAGTGAAAACTTTTCCATAATTTATTTTTCATTTGTAATTCTTTTTTCATGACATTTATATCCCATCCTTTATCACTGTATCATCTTTCTTTCCTCCCTGCCATGTGTGTGGGAAGGGGAGGAAAGAATATATAAAAGTCTAGAAGAATATGTGATAAAATGATAACTTCAGGTATCTCTGGATGTTACACTTACGATGGCTTTTCTTTTTTTCTTATTTATATTATCTAGTTTTTCAGAAAGAACACATATTACGTATGTAATAAAAAACTGGCCAAATATGTACAGCTCTGGAATGTGTTTCTGCAGACATATGGTGCTTTCTACACTGATCATTCTGGTTCAGAAGCTATTTTCTAAGCAGCAAAATACCAGAGCTCTAAAAATGCGTTGAAATGGCCTCATGCAGCTCAAAGTTTAAAATAAAAATCACCACAAAATGTCACTTAAAACACTTCGGCAGTTTCTCAAAAAGTTAAACACAAATTTAACATACGACCCAGCAGTTCCACTTGTAGCTATCTACCCAAGAGAAGTGAAAACCTAGGTCCATGAATGGGAACACAAATGTTCATAGCAGCATTATTCATAATAGTCAGAGAGTGGAAACAATCCAACTGTCCATCAACTGGTGAATGGACACACAAAATGAGGCATATCCATACAGTGCAATATTAGTCAGCAATAAAAAGGAACAAAGTACGAACATAAAAACCTCAAAACATAGGCTCAATGAAAAAAGACAAAAGTAAAAGATCACATATTATATCCAGAAATGTTCAGAAAAGACAGTTTATAGAGGCAGGGAGTAGATTAGTGGCTGTCTGGGAGCTAGACTGGGGATGGGAGTGGGGAAGGGGCACAAGAAATCTCTTTGGGGTGAAAGGGATGTTCTAAGCTGGATTGTAGATGGTGGGTGCACAGCTTATGAATATTCTGAAAAGCACTGTCCACTTAGCATGGTTGACTCTTATGGTGTGTAATTATATCTCAATAAAGATTTTTTAAAAAGAATCTAAAATATGCCATTTAAAATAAACTTACAGGGGAAATCTTTTTCTAAAAGTTCAATTCACAACTCGATTTCTGAAATTTGTCTTTGCAATTTTGTCTTCCCCATGAATCTTTTCAATTCTTTCACATCAATATCTGATACATTTTAGAATCTTCCCTTATTTTGTGGATATGAAAACTGGCTTAATGATAAATTTCAATCCCTTCCCCCTGTCTGTGGTTGGTCATCTGAAGTCTGGCCTCAACCTGCAGAGAGCCACGACTCTGGATGTGGACACTGAGAAATGTTGCTGAGGAAACCCTAGACTGTGTCAGAGTTCCCAGAAAAAGTCCACAAAGGGAATCCTCAAGGCATAACTTAAGTGTTTCTTGAGTCACCAGAGATACTCTTTGGTTCAGGTCAGACTGAGAGCAGAGGCAAAGACTCTGTTTGCTTTCAGTTATCATCTGGCCAGGTCTATCCGGGTGCTTTGTTTAAACGAACATACTTGCTGATAACTTCCAGGGTGTCTATTTTTACTGCAACTGACCCAGAGGGCTACCCCTCTTTTCCCCTCACAAGATCCGACTTTTCCCAAATGCTTTTGTGCAGGAGGAAGTCTGCCCCATTTTTCAGCTGGCATAGATATTCGTGCATCTTTATCAGTTGCGAATCCGTGGCAGAATTCAATGATCATTTGTTATTGTTCAGTACTGGTGTGGTATATAGACTGCTGTCTCTCCCCAGTATCCATTCCCCCTGTTTCCTTTTAGTACCAGAACCCCCGAGCTTCTGCAGGCAACATGTTGCCCAGCTTCCCTCCCTGTGGATGTGTGGTAGAGTGTTCACCATGCAGAAGTGATGTGTGCGTCCCTGCATCTCTGCCCTTCCCACAGGCTGGAACGGGAACACAGGACAGCACCACGGGGGCAGTGGAGCAACAACATAGATGGGAGCCAGGACTCTGAATGACTGAGTTGAGCAGAACCACCTGGACCACCTTCCTACCTCTGGATTGATGGACATAGGACAGAAATAAACTTTTAAAAAAAATTTCATTTCAGCAGCTTAACCTATTCCCTAATTAAAATCCTGGGTTAGCCATCAGAAGGCCTGTATCCTAGTCCCACTTCTGCTTCTAACTGTGAGGCTTTTGGTAAATGATGTTACTTTCCTGAGCTTTAGTTTTTGCATCTTAAAATTAAGGGGAGGAATTTCCCTGGTGGTGCAGTGGTTAAGAACCCGCCTGCCAATGCAGGGGACATGGGTTTGAGCCCTGGTCCGGGAAGATCCCACATGCTGTGGAGCAAATAAGCCTGTGCACCACAACTACTGAGGCTGTGTGGCACAACTACTGAAGCCCGCGCGCCTAGAGCCCGTGCTCTGCAACAAGAGAATCCACTGCAATGAGAAGCCCGTGCACCGCAATGAAGAGTAGCCCCCTCTCACTGAAACTAGAGACAGCCTGCACGCAGCAACGAAGACCCAATGCAGCCAAAAATAAAAAATAAATAAGTAAATAAATAAATTTATAAAAAAAAAAATTAAGGGGAATCCTAACATTTTTGTGTGCCTTAGACTCCTTTGGCAAAGTGGTAAAGAAAACCTAGAGGGCCCTTCTCAGAACAATGTTTTTAAATGCATAAAATAAAATAAAATACATGAGCTTTTACCAAAGAAACTAATTATACTGAAGTACAGTTATAATCACAGACCCCTTGGGAGTCTGTGGACCCCAGTTAAGGACACCTACATGACCTTTAATTTCCACCCTCATCAAAACACCTAGGAGTTTATGGTTCTATTTAATGCACAAGAGATAAAAAATTAGCAAGTCTACCTGTATTGTTTATATGTTTATTTTCCGTATATTGTGACGTTTTGACATCTTAAAAGTCTTTCTGGGTGGGGAGAGAATTTCTGCCCCCATCTTCGGGGGCTAGCCAATTTTAACCCGTCCAGAGCTCACCTCCACCATCTGGCCCGTGTACCCCAGGAGGAAATATTCCTCTGCCTTAATCATCTCAGCACCAGGGAGCAGACAACTAAGCACGACCCCTGTAGCTTAGGGTCTGCTGAAGTTGTTCACACCAGCCGATCCTGAACTGTTTACCCCGCCCTGCCATGCCTTTTCCACAGGAACTCCAATACAGACTGCGGTCTAAGCTCTCCCTCTGCCTCTTCTGCCTCCTGACCAACCAGTAGTGCCTTTGCTTCCCCATGTGGCCCTGGGTGGTTCTCTAGGACCTATGAGTATAATACACTCTTTTCCTGAGCCCCTCCTCTGTCTCCTCGTGTGGCCACACCTGACTGACCATCATGTAAAAGAACACAGAGCACTGCCTTTGTGGCCTGGAAGTGTTCATCGTCTTCCAGATGTGCTAGGATCTTATGTAGAAATGACATTCCCACTTGTACATGTCTGACCTGTTAGAGACATGGCTGAAAAAAGAAAGACTCCTAAAACCAACAGTTATACTTTGTCTTAAGGATTCAGTTGTAGCATCTTGTTTCCTAGTCCATTAAAACTAAAGCTATAAAGAAAAGGCCTGGAATGAAGTAATAAATTTGCTCTCCAAAATAGATATTCAAGAGTGAGTCCCCATCACTCTCTTATTGTAGCTTCTTCAAACTGAGACAGCTTTTTGCATCACTAGGATTTAGCCTCTCTACTCAGACACCTGCAGAGCACTGCTCTGGAGGCTCATTGAAGATGAGGAAAGTACTGACACTAGTGACAGTAACATAGTCTGGAAACTGGTCACCTTCCATTCCAACTGGTGCCTTCACGGTTAAATTTTTACATTGGCTCTTTCATCTTGACCAAAAGTACGTTTGGATAGATTGACATGGCCTCGGTGTTTTAAATATTCTCAGATGTTCTGCTTTTTGCTAGGTCTTACCTCGAACAAAGACGTAAGCACTGTATTTTTCATAATATTCTCCCATTTGTACATGGATTGTGTAGAGACCTTCATCTTCCTTGTTGAGATGAGAAAATGTTAGTGTTGCCCGATCTCCACTCCAGTGTGTTTGCACCCATTTTGATGGAGAAACAGGAGCCCCTAGGGAACAAAAGTAAGCAAATTAACTGAGTTCTTTCTCTATTACTCTCTTCTTCCTCCTTCCCCTCCACTCTTCCCTCCCCGCAGTCCTCTCTCTCTCTCTCTCTTTATTCCTCTTCTTCTATATTGAAAGCTATCTGAATATTAGAGGAAGCCTGTAGGGCTTTGAGTCGTTCTGCCATGTTTATCTTGGTTAAAATGTTAGAGCAGAAGTGAGGGGACCAGGGCCAGATACATAATCTGCAGGGCCCAGTGCAAAATGAAATTACAAGACCCCTTGCTCAAAAAGCAGAGGAAAAAAACACAGTCAAGGTACTAAAATATAAGGCTTTGTCCTCTAAAAATAGTTTATTACTTATAAAACATAATGGGGTAATACAAATTGCAAAAACTAATATTTTCATGCCATAATTTTACATACAAAAATAATACTTTATTAATGTGATACGTTGATTGATAATATAATATTTTTTACTTACTTTTCTGCAAACTCAGTTACTTTTAGTAACTTCATTTTAAGTTGATATAACTGAAAGCAACATCAGTCACTCTTTGCAAATGCAAGATCATAAATTAGTTTTGATTTTTTTTAAGAAGGATCTTTCTGCTGATGCAACTATTAATGCAGCTGTTAAGAGTATTACATAGTCATAGTAATATATAGCTTTATACGTTATAGTATTATATAGTTATGGTGCTGTAAAGTTAACATTGGGTTAATCTTATGATAAACTATTTCAAAATATAAATTTTAGTACTCTAGAGCTGATGATTCTTTTTTTTTTTTAATATCTTTATTGGAGTATAATTGCTTTACAATGGTGTGTTAGTTTCTGCTTTATAACAAAGTGAATCAGAGCTGACAATTCTTGAGGAACAATTTTTTCTAAAAAGATTTAACTCTTTATACAAATAGTTTCATGTAAGTCTGAATTTAATTTTAAATGTAAATTTACACAGTTGCATCCTAATGTTTTCTCTTACATGTCCTGTAACTTGTGGTCATACAAGAAACTGAAAATGACTTCATGATGTGCATATAATTCAAATGCCTGTTTATGCATTCTCTCACTGTATCTTTGATTATGAGGAAAACTTAATTTAAAAATTATCTTTCTTGTTAATAACTGCTTCATCCAAAGTTTCGTATGAAAATAGTGTTCTTTTTCATTGAATGTGACAATCTTTATACTTAATTTTTATTTCCAAGCCTGTGAAGGTTTGCTTTGCAATGCTGTGGCAGTTTTCACAACCAGAGAGTCTAAACTCTGAAGAATACTAACTGCCTTATGTGCCTTACTGCAATGTCTATGTACATGCTTTTATTTTATAATATTTTACGGACAAAGTTTACTGCATGATTGCTGGCAGTTCCTGTCATGGTGCTCAGGCGAGGAAGCTCATATCTGTGCAGATCCCCCAAATATGCATTCTAGAGGCGGACGGGCAATCTTGGCTCCCACGGTGGGCGCCCACACTGCCCCATGTGGGACCCCTCCTCTCCTCTAGGGCCACGCCGTCCAGCAATGTTGCTGCTGCTGCTGCTGCCGTGACTGGTTTCACTCTGGGCCCAGGTCCTGGTCTCAGCCACGGTCTTGGGATGGCCCAGACTGCCTGGTGCCCACACATGCACTGAAGTTCAGGCCAACTGCATGGTGAGCATGCTGACCACCACCCACCGTGCCTGGGGACCAATGGGCCTGCTCCATAGTCCCATTGGACATCACTGGATTCCGCTTTATTTTACCAAATAAAATTAACTTACAAAATGAATATACATCCAACTTGCAAAATGAGAATACAATTTTTTGTAATCCCTTCACTATATTACTTAGTGATAAGAAATTATAATCTCCACAAATATATTGCGAAAGTTCTGCTACTCTGATATATGTGTAAAAGCTTTTGTAACATCCAAAAGGTTATGTCCTCTAACGTTCAGATTCTGCCAGCTCTGATAAAGAGAACTGCAGTCTTATGGACATTCATGCTCTGGGGCCAAGCCTGGGCTGTGACCTTCTGCAAATAAGAACCTAGTGAGAATTCATTAGTAAGGCTCACCATTTCGGTACCACTGGATCTCTGGTTGGAAATGTTTAATTTCAGGAGTGATAACTACACGGCAGCCTAGACTCATCGTCTCGCCTTCTCTCCCGAAAGACACATCAAACTTGTCATCAAAGTGGATCTCAAACTTGGACGCATAACCGTAAGGGGTCACAGCAACTGGGCACAACAAAAACAAACATCAGTAACTTACTTTTTGTCATCAAAGAGACACAAACAAGCATTTTAATAAGCACAGGCAGAAAGCAATCACAACAAACCTATCAAGTGACTTATCTGGGCAAAAATTAAGTCTTATAAAAGAAGTATGTAGCATATTCACATATATCATTATATTGAAATGGAAATTCTGTGTATGGAAATTCTTGCTTCATTGGTCAGATAAGCTAAATGCTTATTTTTACTATTATAATTAATAGAATTTAAAAGGTCAGGTTTAATGCCTTACATAAAATGTAAATGAACACCACATTTAGCTTCGACTTAAATATAGCTGCAATATATGCACATTAAAATGTTAGATTCTGAGTTCATTTAAACTTTACTGCTTGTACTCTTGGAACAAATAGCCACATCGATTTCTCATAAAAATGGAGTTTTTTAGTAAATGGCTTCAGCTTCTTTGATGATCTGGGTTAAAAAAATACAAGAAATATCAATGGGAGAAAACAAAATTTAAAATACCATTCTTAGAAACATCTTATATATAGATTGAGTAAATACCTGCACCATAAACTCTCCTAGGTTTTGTTTTCTCTTTTCTCAAAGGAAAGGGCCTGGGAAAATAATGACTATTTTTTGATGGCTTCCTGCATGCCAGGAACTTCACATTTGACAGATCATCTAATCCTTGCAAAAACTCCATGGCATAGTTACTAGTTTTTCCTCTCTTTCAGGTGGGGATATAGAAGTTCACAAATATATATAGCTAACACAAAGGTTTCAAAGGCATCATGTGTGAAACTGAAATTCAAATGTGTAACTGCCCAACTCTAAAACTTAGGCCCTTTTTCTCCTATTTCAATTCTCTTCCTAAGACCTCTTAGAATTAATTTGAAAATGCAAGCTAACATTTATTGAGATCACCTTGTGCCAAGTATTGTTCCAAGTGTTTAATATCTATCAACTCAATTAAGCCTCATTATAACCCTATCAGGTAAGTACCATTATTATTCCCATGTTATCGATGGGAAAACAGCAGCACAAGGAGACTAAATAACTGCCCATATGCACCCTGCAGACCCAGGATTTACACTGCCAGGCTGTTTCCAGAGCCTGTGCTCTCAACCAATACGTGGGGTTGACTTGACTTTGTGTGTCCCCAGGCAACCACTCACCAACAGGGAAATGACTTCTCTTTGAAGCATGTGTCCCATCTGCCCCATTTTTATATGATGATGTCCCACTGAGATCAAAACGCAAAACAACTTGAACAGATCTTGTTTATTGGGAAGTTGGGCTGGTTCCAAAGCTGCCTCAGGGAGTAGAGATAAGGGTTATAGGGAGGGCCTGGTTTAGGTCAGGGGTTGGCAAATCTGTGAGCCAACTCTGGATTGCCTCCTGTTTTGTACCATGAAGAATGGGTTTTAAATTTTTTAATGGCTGAAAAAAATCAAAAGAAGGATAATATTTTGTGACATGGGAGAAGTCATAGGAAATTCAAATTTCAGTGTTCATAAATAAGGTTTTATCTGGATACAGCCATGCTCATTCATCTATCTATTGCCGATGGCTGCTTTTGTGTTACAGTGGTAGAGTGGAATAGTTGTGACACAGACCCACACAGCCTAAACTATTTACAATCTAGTCCTTTACAGAAAATGTTTGCCAGTCCCTGGTTTAGAATATGGTTGGTATTAGAAAGACCAGGTTACAAGTCGCTATTCTACCATTATGCGTGGTCTTGACCCATGATTTAATCTCTCTAAATTGTTTCCTCATCTGCATAGCACAGATAAAAAGGCACCCAGTTCATAAGCTTTGGAGAGCATTAAATGAATCAATGCATATAAAAAATGTCCTAGGGGACTTCCCCGGAGGTTCAGTGGTTAAGACTCTGAGCTTCCACTGCAGGGGACATGGGTTCGATCCCTGGTCAGGGAACTAAGATCCCACGTGCCGCACGCAGTAACCAAAAAAAAAAAACAAAACTGGAAATCACCAGTAAAGCTGGCGGTGCTGTCTCCCAGCTCAAAAAAAAAAAAAAAAAAACCCAGTACGGAGTCTGGCACAACTGATCAATACATATTAACTACTAGAGCAGAACCAAGGGCAGGGAGCTTTATCCATGATATTTACCAGCATATTCCAACCACCTAAACTGGCACCTGGCACACGGTAGATGTTCAATAAATACTAGCTGAATTAATGAATAAGAGCCCTCCGTTCTCTATGTTGGGAACAACTGCACTCAGTTCAGGAGCCAGAGGAGGCTCTGAAAGATTAAGAAGTCAGAGAGGTTAGATTGAGCTGGGCTTTCAGACTCTGGCTTGATGGAGAAGAGGGGAATGGAAAAAACATGGATGATGATATAGAAGTGGGACTGAACAGGATACGTGTGGAGGATTGTAGAATGACCAATAGGCCAATCTTGGGGACATTGGGGATAAGTCATAGTTTCAAATTTCCCAGCTATTCTATCTCAATATAAATCAAATTATAGAGGAGGACATGATTTGGGATGTGTTCCTTCTTCACTCTCACCCATCATCCCCTCTTGCCCAGGGGATTGATACCAATGATTACAATTTAGAATATTAAAATTAGGAGCCACTCCATGAAGTCGATGGAGTAGGTCATCTATAGACATCAAACTAATTAGTTAGGTGAAAAATTGAACCATGGGAAAGTATTTTCATCAACCATTTTTAAAACTACCACTTATTTTTTAATGTTTGGAAAATAAGAAGTTCGAGCTTGACTACCGTTTTCAGTCTGAACAGTGTAAGCATCCAATTACTTGAACAACAATAAGGATTTTACTTTTATTGCCTCCCATGAAAAGAAGTTCTGATATAGATGAAATGATTGAAGTTCATAAATTTACAAATTACTATGGATCAGAATATTGTTAATAATTTGTTATTAAACCACATTTAGACCTCATTAAATTGCATTTCATAAATTAATGTATTTATTCATTCATCATCAACTACTACTCTACATCAGGTGCTAGGGTTTAAAGATAAAAGGTCCAGCCTTGCCTTCAAGTGTCTCATGGGTCAGTGGGAGAGAACAGTTAACAGTGTCCAGTGAGATAGATGCTCTTATGAAGGTGCCACAGCTTCACCGGGGGCACCGAACCTTGAGTGGGTGGGGCCTGGGGTGGCAGTGGGGTCAGACATGGATTTCTCAAGGAGTTGATACTGAACTGGATATTTAAAAATGAGTAAAACTGCTCTGATATAGTCCAGACTGTGTGTGTGTGTGTGTGTGTGTGTGTGTCTGTGTGTGTGTGTCTGTGTGTGTCTGTGTGTGTGTGTATGTGGTTAAGTCACTCTGCACAGATTTGTGTAATGATCTTTCTCAATTTAAACACAGAAAGACTTAAAAGCATTTTAAATGCTTTTAAGACTTAAAACCATTTTTAGCCTGTCACATCTGGGCATTTATAAAACCAGAACAAAGCAATTATATGCAGAAAGAGAATATAGTAACCAAAGAATCTGAAAAAATAAAACCAATCACAGGTAGTATTACACACATACTAGCATATATTATAATATAGACTATGTATTTATTTCAGCATTATGGAACAGCTTATTATGCAGTATTGTACAGAGATGACACAGCAAATATACTTTTAAACTTACAGCTGAGGGGCAAGGTGGAGGCCCCCGCATGGAAGCGAGTCTCATCAAACTCTCCCTTATATCCTAGAAGAGAAAGCAGAAAAACATGCCAACTGTTCCTTGCCTTTATTTTTTAGCAGTGAGAATAAATTTTTAAAAAATACACTTTGAATAAAACAAGTTCAGCAAACCTACTCTTTACCACAACCGAAGCATATGCTGAAAGCTCTCCTTTAACATTCATCACCGAGGCCCGGTACTGAGCGGTGTCTTCAAAATCACATCTGAAAGAACGGATGGAAATGAGTGCCCAGTGCAGTGACACTCCTGGTACAGTCGTCACTCAGCATCCACGAGGGACTGGTTCCAGGACCCCCATGGATATTAAAATCCACGGATGCTCAAGTCCCTTAAGTAAAATGGTGTAAAACAGTTGGCCCTCAGTATCTGCGGGTTCCGCCTCCTCGGATACGGAAGGCCGATGTAATTGCTAGCTGTTTCATCAAGGATCTCTTTGCTAACAAGGCACAGGGCAAATCACTGACTGACACATAGCTCTTTGGCACTCTTGATAAAGCTACTCTCTCTGACCCAGCACCCTGTGGTGTGTTATATAGGCCAACAGATCTATCTACCAACAGCTATAGTCCACCGTGACCCTAGCCTGGGTTCATTTAAAATGTCCAAAAAAAAAAAAAAGTCAACAAAGTGTCAAGCATATAAATTACAGTGTGAACAGTGTGATGAAAAATTGGTCTAAAGTTGTATCAGGAGCAGGAAACGTCCAGCCATGTACCTTTGGAGCAGGTAAGACCCCCCCCTTTCCACCTGTTCCTTTAGCATTAGAAGCACACACTTTAATCTCCTGCCTGAACCAAGAATAGTCAACAAAGTGTCAAGCATATAAATTACAGTGTGAACAGTGTGATGAAAAATTGGTCTAAAGTTGTATCAGGAGCAGGAAACGTCCAGCCATGTACCTTTGGAGCAGGTAAGACCCCGAGCACCTTGGGGCCTCCCTCAGGGTGGGTTTCAGTCTGGGGGGCTACAGGGTGATGAAAAGACAAAGAAACAGCCTCTCCTAATAGACACCCACAGACTCCCTGAGCCACAAAATGGATCCCGGTTAGTCTAATGTGCTCTAGCCTCAAAGTACAAATAAGTTATTTAACTTTCAATTCTGCTAAGGTTCAGGCCCACAGAACAACACAAGAAGTGCCATTTGGAAGTTCCTCTAAGTTATAATGCAGAAATTGGGATGTTGTTAATAACGGAGTAGAGAGAGAAGGATCTCACACAGAGATGAACAGGCTAAGATTTCAAAGAAGGCTGTTCTGTGTCTTATCACTGCCAGTGTTCGTGTTCTTCATTGTTCCTCTGGGTTTAGTTTCATTTGTAATATCTTAATTCTTGTTGAAATCTACAGACATCAATAGAACCCCAGGAGGGTCAATACAGTTGCCTTTCCCATAGCTATTTAATTATAAAGCAACCACATAGCTTGCTGCTGCCTCGGTAGAATCTCCGACTGGCAGAATGGATGTAACTTTAGGAAGGGGTCAATGCTTGGCGAAAGCCCCAGAGACCCAGGGTTCTTTCTGCTTGAAGCCCAGCATCACCTGTGTCAACTGCTCTGACCTGAGAAGGCTATGAATCTCTTGAGATCAGAATGACGTAATTTTTTTTTTACTTTGACATCTCAGCATGTCATGGTTTTATTTGAACCGAAAATGCTGGGAGCTCGTTTAACTTTTTCATCCACATAACTAGGCTTGGATTTCAAAACCACATTAGGAGACATGATAAACCTTTGAAAACTTGGAAATTTTGATGTGGATTCTGCTTTCAAATTTTGCTTTTGATTTTGCTTTATAAACATCCCAATGTCAGGCTCTGCGTCCATCTACAGGCTGACAGGGTGGGCACATAGTTTCCCACAGTTCCTGGTGAGCTGAAGGAAAGAACAATTTCTCTAAGTCCAGCTTATTTTCAATGTCACCCACCCCAAACTTCATTGGCCTTTACTGATTAAAGGCAAAAGTGTATAGTGATGGCATAGATTTGGAGCTCTGAAAGGATAACTGAATATAAATGCCTATTTATGTAACTTATTTTCTTACTAATGTCTAAGAAAAACTCTCCAGTATATAAAAGGATAAATAGATACAAATGAATTTTTCCTCATCGTCTTTGACTAAATTCAAGTAAGATCACTTTGGGAGGTAATGTGGGCTTGGTAAGAGTGTCATGCTTATCGCTCTTCGGTGTGCACCAAGAAGCAACATATGGGACTGTCCCCCACCCTGATCGCACTGCATTGGGAGGAAAAGGGGACAGTCGTTAACTGGAGTGCAAATTGCCACCCTAAGCAACTGCTGGGCAACACACACAGACCCTGATGTCTCTTACGCGTTTATCTCCAGAGTGTGCATTCCATATCGGCTTTCGATAATATACTTTCCAGGGTTTGCATGAACATCTATTGGCACCTGGTTTTTATACCTATGAGACAATGGAAACAAGGTGAAGTAAGTTGAGGTGTAAATAGATTCATGATTAAAAGCAACACACACACAACTGTTGTTCTTGAAGGAACACCTGTAAACAAAGCACTGAGGTCAGTAGTGGGGTCTGTTCAATAAATGCAAATAAAACACATTATAAATATTATAAAACTTCTTTTTCTTAATATTAAAACAATGGAATTTTATTTTGATGAAAAATGAGTTTACAATCATTTAGTAAATGAAGAGCAAACACTTCATTTTCCTAACCCATAACTCGAAAAAAATCATTAGTGAATAAATATCTGTGAACAGATTAAGGGTAAGGCAGACTGGAAAATAAACCACCTGAAGTTCACACTCCCTGCATGTGACTCACTTGAAAAGGATGAAAACGGCGCTGGAGATAACTGATAAGATATGGCCATTGAATCTCATCCTAATCATTCAAATAAGCCCAAGGATACTCATTTTTTGCTCATCGTGGGCAGCAAACTATACACATTTTACTAAAGGAATACTTTGATAGAAGCACTTATTTAGATTATATTGTGCATCACAATTATTAAAATGGCTTGAACAGTTCCACTTAACCACCATATATAAAGTGCAACTATATAATGTTCTACAGTTTATCTGGGGTGTGATGAATATCGATCTAGACTGAAAGTACCCCAGCTGCCAATTTCCGCCACTTCTGAAAAGATCTAGATGTGTGAAAAAGGACTGTTCCCCCATACAAATAACCAATTTCACAAACCTACTGGTAAACCAATACATTTACATAACTGGAACCTCAAGATGCTAGAATTGTACTCATTTAAAAAACCATTCAGGGCTTCCCTGGTGGCGCAGTGGTTGAGTCCGCCTGCCGATGCAGGGGACGCGGGTTTGGGCCCCGGTCCGGGAAGATCCCACATGCCGCGGAGCGGCTGGGCCCGTGAGCCATGGCCGCTGAGCCTGCGCGTCCGGAGCCTGTGCTCCGCGACGGGAGAGGCCACAATAGTGAGGGGCCCGCGTACCGCAAAACAAACAAACAAACAAACAAAAAACCATTCAGCCATTCAACCATTTTAAAAACCATGGTCTTTAAAAAAGTTTACACTGCAATATCCTAAACACTGTTCTGTGCATCTCACAATGAAGAGAGTGGCCTTGCAGTGCAGGATGAGAGTGCAGCGTCATTGTGAAGAGTAGCACGCTATGGTTTCAAGGAACATCACCATCACAGCATCAGATTCTGTGCGTCAGGATCGAGGTCCTTGTTGCTAGAAGGGGGATGGATAGGGAAAATACCGAGCTCATCCACCTGAGGAGTTGGGTGCATGGCTACTGGTCCTGGGGAATGTCAGCTGCAGCCACTGCAAGGTTGGTGATAGATTTCCTCTTTACACACTGAAAGTCTACACACCGGCTCTTTCCTGCTTCCTTCTCCCAAGACATTCGAATAAAGGGTCTTTGGACATAGTTGTAAATCACTTCTGGGCAGCCCCCAGGCCTTTTCTTTTACTTCTTTCTTTGTAGGTTGGACAACCTTTTATTCCCAATCTAATCTTCTTAAACCCCTCTCCGTCAAAACTGATTTGGCCACAACTTTGTTTTCAATGTACTTGAAAAATCTATATAATTTTGTGCTATAAATAATTTGTGAATATTATTCTCCCATCTGTGGTGGATACTCTTCATCCCAATCAACCACATCATCACCTGTAAGCACCACTATGTGGCATTCATGTTCCCCACTCTGGGCACTAGCTACCATGGGAGGCAGAGTCATTTCCTCCAGGTAAAATTCGAACTGTCTACGGGCACCATCATTTGATAACTCATGCATTAGGGCACTGAGATCTCTACATTTAATAGTACTATATTCAAAAGAGATACAAAGAGAGTCGCATGGTTCTCTCAGCTCAGGAATAGACATGCCATCGGGACAATGGATTATCCCTGTTTTATAGTAATCCAGAATAGCTCGAAACACAGTACAGCCAATCCCCTCTGCCACCTCATACTCTCCCTTCTCGCTGGGACATGTAGAGTTATGTTCTCTGCCAGATCCAAACATCCTGCCCAACACTGCATATGGCTGAGCGGTAAAAATGGATGGGTCTACAACAAATTTAGTGTCATCCACTATTAGTGTCACTCGTTCTGACGTTCTTACATTCCGACCTCCTTATTTTGCATTTTCATACAAAAACACCATTTCCCCAGATGTCTTACAGCTACCATCTGAACTTGACTGACTACTGTTTCTGCTGCTGTTCCCAGCACTGCTCCTGGAACCATTTGGAGATGCTTTTTGAGGATGAGGACTGCTTGGACGAGAGGAACTGTGATCCTTTTCACATTCAACATGGTGCTGTCGTGTTGAAGTAACATTTCTAATACAAGGAATGAGCTGAGATTCTGTTCTTTCGTGAGATGAATCTTGTGATCTGTCACTTGACCTTCGTCTATCTCTTGATCTCTCGTTGAGAGAGATCAAGTCACCATGTAGACTCATTTTGGTGTGGTCAACAACTCCTTTGGCAACATGTGGGGGAGTACTTGAATGTTTATAAAGTTTACGACGTCTACTATTCAATTTCCGATCCCAGTTCTCTGGATCACTGGAGTTACCGTCATAAGGATGAGGCCATCCTGCCATCCCACTTCAAGCTTCCTCACATTGCTGCTCTGAAAGCACACATGTAGCACCCATAACCTGTAGTCCCCCTTGAGTGTCCAGGCACAGGCTGGGGCCGGCGACACCTCCCCTTCCTCCCCAACTGGATCCCTCCGGAGGTGTCTGTGGCAGCGGATGCTCTGGCGGCTGGGGCTACAAGAGCTTCCCCGACAGGTTGCAGGCCGGCTCCTAGGCTGCTTCTTGCCTAAAACTTCTTGATGAATGTGCTTTCCTCTCCTCCGTTACAAAAATTACGTTCAAGAAGTTGGACATTCACAGCAATGTGGTTGAATCTTGCATGTGTAATGTTGAGTGAAAAGAGCCAGACACAAAAGAATATAATGATTGCTTTTATGTAAAGTACAAAACCAGAAAAGACTAATTAATGCTGCTAGAAGTCAGGAGAGTGATTCCCCCGGAGCAGGGCAGGGGGGATTAAGGAGACATCCTGGGTGCTGAAATTGTTTGGTTTCTTGATTTAGGTGCTGGTTACCTGCGTGTATGCAGTCTACAAAAATTCATCAGAGTTCTACATTTATATGTGATATGCACTTTTTAATGTGTATATGATACTTCAATAGAAGATCTAAAAAAAAAGAAAACGAAGACTTGCCTATTGTTGACACAACAGAGAGGAAGGCTTTGAGTGGGTTTTTTGTTGGCTGTCTGTGTAGGATGAAAGCAAAACATTCTTCCTACTAACATTCTTGCATGTTGTTCAAAACCTTGCCATTGCATTGAAAGCTCATTATATTTGTTTTACTCTTTTGTGAGCAAGCATAGCTCTCCTCTTGGAAGAACTTAAAATATCAATCATGAAGGAAAACTATTGACAAATAGGAGCTGAAAGATTCCTTTTTTCTGACTGGCCATCCTTGGTGAAGCCTCTCAGCCTTGAGAGGCTGGGGCTCCATGGAGGGGTCCCTCCTGAGACACTGTCTCCTGAGTCTGCAAGGGGCACCTTCTTTGCCACATCCTCAGGTTCTCAGTAGCCAGTGGCTATGGTGCTGGACCAGGCTTTTCTGCTTAAGCCATTTTCTGTCCCAAAGAGGAGCTGGACTTCATTTGATTCCCTTTCAGACACCCCACTTCACTTGTGCCGACATCGCAAATAACACTAATAACCATAATGGACACAGAGTGTTTACTGTGAGCCAGGCAAGTGCTTTAAATTCAGTCCTCTCAACAACTGCACGAGATGGTACTACTTTTAACGTAGTAAAGTAGTAGCGTTTTCCAGATGAAGAAACCCAGGCATGGAGAGGTTAAGTGTCTTGCCCCAGCTCTCACAGCTAGAACAGCAGAGCTGGGATTTGCACCCAGGCAGTCTGGCTCCTCACAACATGGGATGCTTCCACTTTCCAGCTGTTCTCTATTTAGCTGCATTTTTTTTTTTTTTTTTTTTTTTGCTGTACGCGGGCCTCTCACTGTTGTGGCCTCTCCCATTGTGGAGCACAGGCTCCGGACGTGCAGGCCCAGCGGCCATGGCTCACAGGCCCAGCCGCTCCGCGGCATGTGGGATCCTCCCGGACCGGGGCACGAACCCGTGTCCCCTGCATCGGCAGGCGGACTCTCAACCACTGCGCCACCAGGGAAGCCCTATTTAGCTGCATTTTATTTCTTCAGATTTCTGGGCATGGTTATAAGGAGGTTTGGGAGCAGGGAAAGTGGTGGAAAGGGAGAGAAAGAAAGGAAATAATCTTCAGCCAGTCCCCACCTCTCCCCAGCTTGTACACTCATACACTCCACACACACACACACACACACATGTGCACCCTATGTCCCTAAAATGCACCATTTTTTATACTTTAAAAAATGTACCATTCTCCTTCTCCACCTGGCGAAATCCCAACTCGTCCTTCAAGGCTCTGATCAAATGTCACTTCTTCAATAATCTCTCCCTTGAAATCCCATACAATATCATTCCTGCCTGTCCGCACTGGTGTTACTTGGTTCAAATGGAAATATATAACATTTATCAAATTATGGTTGGACAAGTGTCACTTCTACTAAGGTGTGCGTGCCTTGAAGCTGGGGATTTGTCTGACCCCTACTTACTTCTATTGCCACTCTCAAGGAAGTAGGCATCACAGGCAAATATTAGGCACTCAGTGTTTGCTAAACTGGATTGAACAGAGTCATTGGGTAACACCATAGATTTAACCGTGCTTCCTGATTTGGGGCTGAAGGAACGGAGCTCTAACGAATCCATCCTTCATGATATGGATAATTTAAAATAAGTGCATGTGAAGAAGGTGTGTTGAGGCTCTTTGTGTCCCGGTTCCCTAGGATGTGAAACGGGAGGGTGGACTGGCTTAGGAACTGCAGCT